TATGAAATCCTAGTCGACAATGGAAACATCATATTCCCCTATACATGTATATATATTTTTTTTAATTGGATAAGGAATAAAATCTTTTGTCAGATTTTCATTGCAGACTGCATGTTGTATTTGATACCCTTGTTTTCGTTAGCATCAGTTTTATATACTTTATTAGTGTGAATTTTATATAGTTTATTGGCATAAGATTCAAATAATTCATTAGCACCATTAGTTTTAGATTTAATTAACTTAATAGCTTTCACAATTTTTAGCACATGTTACAGTGAACATCTTACTAACTATTAATGAAATGTAACCAGAACAACCATAATATATGCTTCTTCAACATGGGGATTAATTTTCAAATAGTTATCATTGAAATTTACAATATCAGTGTAAAAGTTTTCTATTTTTGTCATGTTTGACCAAACAAAGCATCTGATTCTTGTAAACTGTCCAAGAAGTTATTTCCTTAAACAAGTAGAATTTGAAACGGAACTGAGCTTATAAGGGTGCATGCACCACTCCTGTGAAGTTAAGATAGCTCTACTTTCTCTTATTGAAAAGCTAAAAGTAACCAATTTTGACACCAACAAGTGGGTCATGACAATGCCTCCACTTTTATCTTTAAAAATTAGTAATGCTAAACACAAATATGCCCTCTCCATCAAACTATCCAGAGGCTTTAATAGTATTTTATACTAGAGCTATCACTAATTGTGATAAATACCCCCGCGATACTGCTTCCGAAATGAGGAAGTTACTAGTAACAGAATACCTTGTAAAATAATTGAAATAGAGTAATGGTTGTGGGCAATTAAAGATGGTTTTGGTTCTTGTACATTGCATTTCCTTTCACTGTGGTTGACCATTGATGAAGTTTTAATGAATTACTCTGTCATAAGTCAAGATAGAGTTCCAGTCTTGAGCACTGCACTGCCTCTCATTACGCTTGATCATTGTCTGAAGTTGCATTGAATTCCAAACATTAGTTTTTAAGTTATGCACTGGACAAGGAAAAGGAACAAAGGGCAATAACTCTGCAAATACTGAAGATTGAGTTATGGTTATTGTAAGCTGCACTTTCTCTCATTGCGCTTGACCATTGTTTATAGTTGTTTTGAATTTCAACAACTAGTTTTCAAGTTATAAACTGGAAACAAAAAAGTAGCAAAGGGCAATAATTATGTAATTAGTTCAAATAGAGTAATGGTTCTTGTGCATTGCATTTCATCTCACTTGACCATTGTATGCAATGCACTGAAGGGCAATAACTTTAAAATGAGTTAAGAAAGAGATTTTGTTCACTATATATGTGCACTGCGCTTCCTCTGAATATACTTGACCATTGTACGAACTTGTATTGAATTCCAACCAGTAGATATCATGTTATGCTCTACGAAAAGGATAGAGTTATGGTTCTTGTGCACTGCACTTCCTCTTATTGTGCTTGATGGTTGTATGAAGCTACATTGAATTCCAACTATTAGTTTTCAAGTTATGCACTGGACAAGAAAAAGTAATCGAGGGCAATAACCCGTGATAAGTCAAGATGGTGTTATGGTTCTTGTGCACTGCACTGCTTGACCATTTTATGAAGTTGTATTGAATTTCAAATAGTGGTTTTCAAGTTATGATCCAGACTAGGAAAATGCAACAGGCAATAACTCTATATTTACATTAGATAGAGTTATGGTTCTTGTGCACTGCACTTTCTCTCAATGTGCTTGTCCATTGTGTGAAGTTGTATTGAATTCCAACCAATAGTCTTTAAGTTATGCTCCGCACAAGGAAAATGCAACGGACCGCTAAACTGACTGACCAACCACCGGTTGACTCCTATATGCCCCCCAAACTTAGTTTCGGAGGTATAAACATACCTTTCAAAAGACTGTGTGTAAGATTCTTCACCAACAGTTTCCTCATCTCCATAATGTTCTTCAGATTTTATGCCTGACTTTGACTGCTTTGATCTTTGAAAAAAAAAAAATCAGAAAATTTACCTCATAATTATAGACATGTTTTGATGACTTTAACCTACCCCCCTCCCTTTTTTTTGAGGCCTAAAATAGTAAAGAAATGCCCTATTCGTATTGAGGCCCCAAACACTGATTATTGTTTGAGAAATGTTGTTAAAAAAGAGATCACTTTTTCAGCCCCATCCCCTATCAAATGGAAACATCAATGGGGTGACAGAGGGGGGATGTGCCCCCTTCTTATTGGCTGTTTGAAGGGGGCAGCAGACCCCACCACCCACCCCAACTCCCAAGAAAATTTTGGACTTGTGATGGAGTTTAGATTGAATAAAACACAAAATAGTGACTTTTGAGACGTCCCCCAAGCCATTGTTAAAGAAAATCTAAGATTGAGCATGCTGTTACAAAGACAATGGTCCAATTAACATTTGTGCAAAGTTTGATCAGTAAAGAGGCATTTTTTATAGTTTTATAGCAGTTTTAACTTGTAAAAGAAGACTTTTCAATGAAAACAGCCATTTTTCACAATATGCTCATGCAGTAAAAGGTTAAGACACAAAAGATGCTTAGACCAAACTAAAGTCATGACCTCAAGCAGAGGAGAAACCAGTAGAAATCTCATAATTTATTGACTTATCTTGACCCAACTAACCTTGAACTCCATCAAAGTGTGGAAGTCTATACAGTACCAAAAACAACACAAAAAAAAAATCTTTCAATAAAGTATTATATACAAGAGCAATCAGTGATCACATGTGTCACCTTATATTAGCTAATTATTATAATTAGCTAATTAGCTTATATTAGCTACTGTGTAGCAGACGACACAAAAATCATGAAAATGGCAAAAAACGTTTTTTAATTCAAGGGCCAATACTCAGCCAAAAATCATTCAACTGGAAATCTGTGCAAAATGTGGAAGTACTTGAGCTACAGATAAATGATGTTGCTTATGCCAGTAGAAGCCTCAAACCTTCTGAAAAACATTATCCTGCTCACAAGCTAAAATACCTCGCTTTAAAATGGTCAATCACAGAAAAGTTTCATGATAATTTGTATGGTACCACTTTCGAAGTCGTAACAGACAAAAATCCTCTCACGTATGTTACAACTACAGCCAAACACTTTCTAGATGAATAAAACAGAGGAATTTTCTGCTGAACACTTTCATAAATTCATTTTTAAGGTCATCACAACAAACAGTGCACAGGCAATCAGTAAAACTCACCTTGTCCTCTCAACAGGACTCAGAGTGCGTAGAGATTCAGAGTTCTGACTGTAAGGACTATCAGCACGCCGGCCTGCTAACCCGGGTGACCTTCTCCCTGTCCCTACAGCTGGTTGGCGCTAAGATGAGCTGGACTTTATTGATGGCCCGGCTGACTGACTCTGAGTCACACTAGCTTGAATTTCTGACTCAGCAGATTTCTTTTTAGACATTGGCTCCCTACCAGGTCTTATCACTGTAAATATAATGCAAATACTATTCAAATACCCCAAAACATTTTAAACTTGCAAAAAGTTTTTTTAACTCTTACCATGCTAAATATTCTATATGGACTTGTAAACTTTTTAATCTTGCATGAAATAATGAGGTAATGGATTCCCAAATCATTCAATCAAATTTCGTAAAAAACATTACTTATTTTCAATGTAACTCAAAGTGAATTCAGTCCTTAATGAAATGTCAATTATATCATAAATACGGTAATCATGTTGAAAGCATTTATGATGATACATTTGAAGAAACCACAAAAGCCCTACATTATGAAAGTTGTTTTTGTGAGATACATGATCTGGTATTATATATTTACAAGGTTGTTCAAAAAGAAATAGGGTTAAAGCTTCATATTTAAAATATTTTCATAATTTATATATACACAGCAATTGTAAAATGTTTTCTACAATTTGAGCATAAGTTTATTAGATTATTCTGCTAAACGTGTGTTCCCTGTGATTTTGAATAACGATGGTAACAAGCAATTGGCGCAGCAAATCAAAATAGAGTTGTTGGTAGGACAGCCTCGCTCAATTGTTCTTAGTGCTTGATAGGAAAAGAGCTTTGATAATGAAAAAATTTCTATGTTTACAAAAGAGAATTTTTTTCTTTTAACTATGTTACAGTTATAGGCATTGGAGTCCTATTATGCCCTCTAAGAAGAGTATAAAATTTCAACTTGTTTCAAAGCCATAATTAATGTCCAAATTTGATGTCATTCAGATATGATATGACTAATATAAATTATATAATTTTAAGAGTAGTTTTCATAGCATTAAAAAAAACAGAAATTTTGTGCTAGAGTTAAGCAAACATACTGGCAATGCTCAGTGAGATACATATAAAATAATTAAATTATCACAGGACAATTAATCAGTCACCAAAACACTTTTTCAGCTGGCAAAAGTAATTTAAAGGCAATGAATGCGAGATCACAAACAGGAAAGGGCAAGGATGAAAGCAAACAATTGATGTAACATTAACAACATCAATTGCAAAAGCACTACAAAAGGAGCAACAGTAAACAGTCCATGTACTGTCCAGGATATTTGATATCTGCATCAGGTCTAATTAATCAGTTCTGTCCAAAGAATTATTAGGCCTTAAGTTATTTGTCTCTTGTAAAACTGTGTAAGTTAATTAAACAAGAGGGCCATGATGGCCCTGAGGTCGCTCACCTGTATATAGGCACCCCCCAACACCCCCCCCCCAACGTTGCAGGGCCAATTTAACCCAATGGCTTTTATTTGCACAAACTTGGTAGACACCCATAAGAAGATGTTTCATGCTAAACATCTAAGCTCTAGCTGGGCTTTTTAAAAGAAGATTTTTTTTAAAGTTTTTACTATACACATATAGTTAAAAACAATGACACCACTGGGGTCGGGCCAGGGCTTTTATTAGAACAAACCTTGTAGACACTTACTAGAAGATGTTTCATGCTTAATATCTAAACTCTAGCTATTTGGGTTTTTTCAAAGAAGATTTTAAGTTTTTGCTATACACATATAAAGAAAATCAATGACCCCCGGGGCGGGGCCAATTTTGACCCCAGGTCTTTTATTTGAACAAACTTTGTAGACACTCACTAAAAGATGTTTCACGCTTAATATCTTAACTCTAGCTATTTGCGTTTTTTCAAAGAAGATTTTTTAAGTTTTTGCTATACACATATAAGGAAAATCAATGACCCCGGGTCGGTGCCAATTTTGACCCCAGGGCTTTTATTTGAACAAACTTGGTAGACACCTATTAGAACATGTTTGATGCTAAATATCTTAGCCATAGCTCTTTGAGTTCTTTAAAAGAAGATTTTTTAAGTTTTTACTATATGCATATAGAGAAAATCAATGACCCCCCGGGGCGGGGCCAATTTTAACCCCAGGGCTTTTATCTGAGCAAACTTGGTAGACACTTATTAGAACATGTTTCATGCTAAATATCTTAGCTCTAACTCTTTTGGTTCTTTAAAAGAAGATTTTTTAAGTTTTTACTATGTGCATATAGGGAAAATCAATGACCCCCTGGGGCGGGGCCAATTTTGACCCCAGGGCTTTTATTTGAACAAACTTGGTAGACACCTATTAGAACATGTTTGATGCTCAATGTCTTAGCCGTAGCTTTTTTAGTTCTTTAAAAGATGATTTTTTAAGTTTTTACTATATGCATATAGGGAAAATCAATGACCCCCTGGGGTGGGGCCAATTTTGACCCCAGGGCTTTTATTTGAACAAACTTGGTAGACACCCATTAGAACATATTTCATGCTAAATATCTTAGCTCTAGCTCTTTGGGTTCTTTAAAAGAAGAATTTTAAAGTTTTTACTATATGCATATAGGGAAAATCAATGACCCCCCGGGGCGGGGCCAATTTTGACCCCAGGGCTTTTATTTGAACAAACTTGGTAGACACTCACTAGAAGATGTTTCATGCCAAATATCTAAGCTCTAGCTCTTATGGTTTTTTAAAAGAAGATGTATAAAGTTTTTACTTTTGGTTGCCATGGCAACCAGAGTTCTGCATGGAATTAAATTCTTTGAACAATTTTTTAAGGTGACCACCAAAGGATCATTCCTGTGAAGTTTGGATGAAATTGGCTTAGTGGTTTATGAGGAGATGTCATTTAAAGTAAAAGTTTACGGACGGACGACGGACGGATGACTGACGGACGCCGGACGACGCCGGACGAAAAGCGATCACAAAAGCTCACCCTGTCACTTTGTGACAGGTGAGCTAAAAATGTGAACAGTAGAGCTGCAGTCCTATTATTTTTTGAACAACCTAGGTATATATAGCATTCTAGAACAAAATATTGTCCTCATATAAGAACATACATGTATGTTCATACTAAATCACTCGGAACTCTGTTAACTTTTTTTCTAAGGAAATATTTGATATAAATATCCAAATGGTACATTTTAAAATGTTTAAATACTGATGAAAGATATTCCCGTCAGTTTAACCATTATACATTTATCTATTACATTTGTATCAAAGTAACCTATAAAATGTTGTTAACTTGTCCAATATAATGGATACCAGTGTTAGAAAAAAGGAGAATTTATAAATATGTGATTTATAAAATAAACAGCAAACTCCTTCATAAATAGAGGTTTGACCCCTCGAAACGTTAGATGATATTGTTATTTATTTATTGTTGCTACAGTGATTTTTAACTTGTACATAAATGTTTTGTCCAAGAAATGTAATAGAGAAGCAATATAATTGCTCATAGACTTGTTTAAAATAAATAAATATGAGATATAACATGGCATGTAAGATCCTTTATATGTACAAAGAAACAGTAAAACTTACGTCGTTCTTGTCTACGAGAATAAATACTGAACACATTTAATTCATCTGTGCGAGAATCGTCCCAAGAGTTACTGGCCTTGTTGGTAGCAGGGTGGGTGGGACGAGGGATATTGAGTTGTGTGGTATCTTTATTAAGGCCCATCTGACTGGAACTTCCAGCATGAAACTCTGCCTTCCGCAGTCCCGTACCAATCTAAAAACAAGAGGGCCATGATGGCCCTGAGGTCGCTCACCTGTATATAGGCCCCCCTAACCCCCACCCCCAATGTTGCAGGGCCAATTTAACCCAAGGGCTTTTATTTGCACAAACTTGGTAGACACCCATAAGAAGATGTTTCATGCTAAACATCTAAGCTCTAGCTCATTGGGCTTTTTAAAAGAAGATTTTTTTTAAGTTTTTACTATACACATATAGTTAAAAACAATGACACCCCTGGGGCCCGGGCCAGTTTTGACCCCAGGGCTTTTATTTGAACAAACTTTGTAGACACTTACTAGAAGATGTTTCATGCTTAATATCTAAACTCTAGCTATTTGGGTTTTTTCAAAGAAGATTTTTTAAGTTTTTGCTATACACATATAAAGAAAATCAATGACCCCCGGGGCGGGGCCAATTTTGACCCCAGGGCTTTTATTTGAACAAACTTTGTAGACACTCACTTAAAGATGTTTCATGCTTAATATCTTAACTCTAGCTATTTGGGTTTTTTCAAAGATTTTTTAAGTTTTTGCTATACACATATAAGGAAAATCAATGACCCCCGGGGCGGTGCCAATTTTGACCCCAGGGCTTTTATTTGAACAAACTTGGTAGACACCTATTAGAACATGTTTCATGCTAAATATCTTAGCTCTAACTCTTTTGGTTCTTTAAAAGAAGATTTTTTAAGTTTTTACTATATGCATATAGGGAAAATCAATGACCCCCCGGGGCGGGGCCAATTTTGACCCCAGGGCTTTTATTTGAACAAACTTGGTAGACACCTATTAGAACATGTTTGATGCTCAATATCTTAGCCATAGCTCTTTGAGTTCTTTAAAAGAAGATTTTTTAAAGTTTTTACTATATGCATATAGGGAAAATCAATGACCCCCCGGGGCGGGGCCAATTTTGACCCCAGGGCTTTTATTTGAACAAACTTGGTAAACACCCATTAGAACATGTTTCATGCTAAATATCTTAGCTCTAGCTCTTTGAGTTCTTTAAAAGAAGATTTTTTAAGTTTTTACTAAATGCATATAGGGAAAATCAATGACCCCCCGGGGCGGGGCCAATTTTGACCCTGGGGCTTTTATTTGAACAAACTTGGTAAACACCCATTAGAACATGTTTCATGCTAAATATCTTAGCTCTAGCTCTTTGAGTTCTTTAAAAGAAGATTTTTTAAGTTTTTACTATATGCATATAGGGAAAATCAATGACCCCCTGGGGCAGGGCCAATTTTGACCCCAGGGCTTTTATTTGAACAAACTTGGTAGACACCCATTAGAACATGTTTGATGCTCAATATCTTAGCCATAGCTCTTTGAGTTCTTTAAAAGAAGATTTTTTAAGTTTTTACTATATGCATATAGGGAAAATCAATGACCCCCCGGGGCGGGGCCAATTTTGACCCCCGTGCTTTTATTTGAACAAACTTGGTAGACACCCATTAGAACATGTTTCATGCTAAATATCTTAGCTCTAGCTCTTTGGGTTCTTTAAAAGAAGAATTTTTAAGTTTTTACTATATGCATATAGGGAAAATCAATGACCCCCCGGGGCGGGGCCAATTTTGACCCAAGGGCTTTTATTTGAACAAACTTGGTAGACACTCACTAGAAGATGTTTCATGCCAAATATCTTAGCTCTAGCTCTTATGGTTTTTTAAAAGAAGATATTTAAAGTTTTTTCTTTCGGTTGCCATGGCAACCAGAGTTCTGCATTGAATTAAATTCTTTGAACAATTTTTAAAGGTGACCACCAAAGGAACATTCCTGTGAAGTTTGGATGAAATTGGCTTAGTGGTTTATGAGGAGATGTCATATAAAATAAAAGTTTACGGACGGACGCCGGACGAAAAGCGATCACAAAAGCTCACCCTGTCACTTTGTGACAGGTGAGCTAACAAGAGGGCCATGAAGGCCATGAGGTCGCTCACCTGTATATTATAAGGCCCCTGGAGCGGGGCAAGTTTAAACCCCAGGGCTTTTATTTCAACAAACTTGGAAGACACCCATTAGAAGATGTTTCATGATGTTAAGTTTTTACTACACACATATAATGAAAAACAATTCTTGGGTAAAGACTTTGGGCCTTTTTTGCACAATATCAACATTTTGTTTGGGTTAGGGTTATGATCCTCATTTTGTGCAAAGAACACCCTCCAAAGTTGTACTTAAACGAATCTGCAATGGTATCAGACAAATCAGACAAGAGGGCCATGATGGCCCTGAGGTCGCTCACCTGTATATAGGCCCCCCCCCAACCCCCACACCCCCCACCCCCCAACGTTGCAGGGCCAATTTAACCCAAGGGCTTTTATTTGCACAAACTTGGTAGACACCCATAAGAAGATGTTTCATGCTAAACATCTAAGCTCTAGCTCATTGGGCTTTTTAAAAGAAGATTTTTTTAAAGTTTTTACTATACACATATAGTTAAAAACAATGACACCCCTGGGGCCGGGCCAGTTTTGACCCCAGGGCTTTTATTTGAACAAACTTTGTAGACACTTACTAGAAGATGTTTCATGCTTAATATCTAAACTCTAGCTATTTGGGTTTTTTCAAAGAAGATTTTAAGTTTTTGCTATACACATATAAAGAAAATCAATGACCCCCGGGGCGGGCCAATTTTGACCCCAGGTCTTTTATTTAAACAAACTTTATAGACACTCACTAAAAGATGTTTCATGCTTAATATCTTAACTCTAGCTATTTGGGTTTTTTCAAAGAAGATTTTTTAAGTTTTTGCTATACACATATAAGGAAAATCAATGACCCCCTGGCGGTGACAATTTTGACCCCAGGGCTTTTATTTGAACAAACTTGGTAGACACCTATTAGAACATGTTTGATGCTAAATATCTTAGCCATAGCTCTTTGAGTTCTTTAAAAGAAGATTTTTTCAGTTTTTACTTTATGCATATAGGGAAAATCAATGAACCCCTGGGGCGGGGCCAATTTTGACCCCAGGGCTTTTATTTGAACAAACTTGGTAGACACTTATTAGAACATGTTTCATGCTAAATATCTTAGCTCTAACTCTTTTGGTTCTTTAAAAGAAAATTTTTTAAGTTTTTACTATATGCATATAGGGAAAATCAATGACCCCCTGGGGCGGTGCCAATTTTGACCCCAGGGCTTTTATTTGAACAAACTTGGTAGACACCTATTAGAACATGTTTGATGCTAAATATCTTAGCCATAGCTCTTTGAGTTCTTTAAAAGAAGATTTTTTAAGTTTTTACTATATGCATATAGGGAAAATCAATGACCCCCCGGGGTGGGGCCAATTTTGACCCCAGGGCTTTTATTTGAACAAACTTGGTAGACACCCATTAGAACATGTTTCATGCTAAATATCTTAGCTCTAGCTCTTTGGGTTCTTTAAAAGAAGATTTTTTAAGTTTTTACTATATGCATATAGGGAAAATCAATGACCCCCCGGGGCGGGGCCAATTTTGACCCCAGGGCTTTTATTTGAACAAACTTGGTAGACACTCACTAGAAGATGTTTCACGCCAAATATCTAAGCTCTAGCTCTTATGGTTTTTTAAAAGAAGATATTTAAAGTTTTTTCTTTCGGTTGCCATGGCAACCAGAGTTCTGCAGGGAATTAAATTCTTTCAACAATTTTTAAAGGTGACCACCAAAGGAACATTCCTGTGAAGTTTGGATGAAATTGGCTTAGTGGTTTATGAGGAGATGTCATTTAAAGAAAAAGTTTACGGACGACGGACGGACGGACGGACGCCGGACGAAAAGCGATCACAAAAGCTCACCCTGTCACTTTGTGACAGGTGAGCTAACAAATGATGTTTAAACGGTTCACTCTAGAATATAATAATTTTCTGTACGAAATCTGCCGTGGTCATAGTATTATTTTTACAATAGGTTTAACTTTCTAGACATTCACTAGAAGATGTTCATGCTTAATATCTAACTCTAGCTATTTGGGTTTTTACAAAGAAGATTTTTTAAGTTCTTGCACTACACACATACGGAAAATCATTGACCCCCGGGGCAGGGCCAATTTTGACCCCAGGGCTTTTATCTGCACAAACTTTGTAGACACCCATTAGAACATGTTTCATGCTAAATATCTTAGCTCTAGCTCTTTGGGTTCTTTAAAAGAAGATTTTTTAAGTTTTTACTATATGCATATAGGGAAAATCAATGATCCTCGGGGCGGGGCCAATTTTGACCCCAGGGCTTTTATTTGAACAAATTTAGTAGACACTTATTAGAAGATGTTTTATGCTAAGTATCTTAGCTCTAGCTCTATGGGTTCTTTAAAAGAAGATTTTTCTAAGTTTTTACTATATGCATATAGGGAAATCAATGACCCCCTGGGGCGGGGCCAATTTTGACCCCAGGGCTTTTATTTCAACAAACTTGGTAGACACTCACTAGCAGATGTCTCATGCTAAATATCTTAGCTCTAATTCTTTGGGTTTTTTAAAAGAAGATATTTAAATATTTTTCTTTCGGCTGCCATGGCAACCAGAGCTCTGCATGGAATTAAATTCTTTGAACAATTTTTAAAGGTGACCACCAAAGGAACATTCCTGTGAAGTTTGGATGAAATTGGCTTAGTGGTTTATGAGGAGATGTCATTTAAAGTAAAAGTTTACGGACGGACGGACGCCGGACGAAAAGCGATCACAAAAGCTCACCCTGTCACTTTGTGACATTGTCACTTTGTGACAGGTGAGCTAAAAATAGATAGATGTGATCTAAAACTTTAAATATCTACTCATCAGAATCTCCAATTCCCAAAGCCTAGACATTTGGCATGCAGCATCATCTATAGTTCTCTATAAAAGTAAAATAAATCATGCTCCTTGGGTAAAAATTGGTTGTGCCACGAGGGCCACTTAATTTATATAGACTTGCATTGTAAAATTAATTTAACTCTTCTTCTGCAAAATTTAAATGCAAAGACCAAGTCATCTTAGTTATTTCTCATGTGGCATTTGCCGAACATAAAAATTCGACAGACTGAAACCTAGGCTATGGACAACCTTAAGATTGGTCAAAATCCATCAAGTTGTTTAGAAGAAAACATCATTTTTTAATAAAGAAATTGTGGACAATGAAAGACCACAAAAGAATTACACACTGTCATCTCAAAATCTCACCTCTGAGCACTTTGTGAGATAAGAGCATTCAGGTAGGTCAAAAAATACCGGTGAAAACTTACAAGAAATCTTGTCCTTTCTGAATGATACAAGTGTTTTGGCAGATCATTTAACATTATATTATACGCCATGCATCACCTCAAAATTCTGCTTCTGTCTATTCTTCTCTTTCCTGCTGACGGCAGCCGACACTTGTGTTGCATGTTTTTGCTTGTTATACAGTTCTTCAAGCTGTCTTTTATGAGGCCCCTCTTTCTCTCTCATGTGTTTTTATCCCTCCTCCTTCTGTTGCCGCACTCTTTTGGCTTTCTTTTTTCATTGTATCTGTTCCTAGTCATATTGACGCTGTTTGACACATGGTTGCTGAGGTTTTCTCACTCTCTGATAAACAATTAATATAATTATATATATATAATTTCATATGTAGTGAATGAATGGTTATTTTAAATAATCGGTGACATTAAACAACAAGAGGGCCATGATGGCCCTGAGGTCGCTCACCTGTATATAGCCCCCCCCCCGGCCCAATTTTTACCCAAGGGCTTTTATTTGTTTATTTGAACAGACTTGGTAGACACCCATAAGAAGATGTTTCATGCAAAACATCTAAGTTCTAGCTCAATGGGTTTTTTAAAAGAAGATTTTTTAAGTTTTTACTATACACATATAGTTAAAAACAATGACACCCCTGGGGCAGGGCCAGTTTTGACCCCAGGGCTTTTATTTGAACAAACTTTGTAGATATTTACTTAAAGATGTTTCATGCTTAATATCTAAACTCTAGTTATTTGGGTTTTTTCAAAGAAGATTTTTAAGTTTTTGCTATGTATATAAGGAAAATCAATGACCCCCGGGGCGGGGCCAGTTTTGACCCCAGGGCTTCTATTTGAACATACTTGGTAGACACCCATTAGAACATGTCTCATGCTAAATATCTTAGCTGTAGCTCTTTGGGTTCTTTAAAAGAAGATTTTATAAGTTTTTACTATATGCATATAAGGAAAATCAATGACCCCCTGGGCGGGGCCAATTTGGACCCCAGGGCTTTTATTTGAACAAACTTGGTAGACATTCACTAGAAGATGTTTCATGCCAAATATCTAAGCTCTAGCTCTTACAGTTCTTTAAAAGAAGATTTTTTAAGTTTTTACTATATGCATATAGGGAAAATCAATGACCCCCTGGGGTGGGGCCAATTTTTACCCCAGGGCTTTTATTTGAACAAACTTGGTAGACATTTACTAGAAGATGTTTCATGCCAAATATCTAAGCTCTAGCTCTTACGGTTCTTTAAAAGAAGAAGATTTTTTAAGTTTTTACTATATGCATATAGGGAAAATCAATTACCCCCCAGGGCGGGGCCAATTTTGACCCCAGGGCTTTTATTTGAACAAACTTGGTAGACATTCACTAGAAGATGTTTCATGCCAAATATCTAAGCTCTAGCTCTTTGGGTTCTTTAAAAGAAAGATTTTTTAAGTTTTTACTTTATGCATATAGGGAAAATCAATGACCCCCTGGGGCGGGCCATTTGGAACCCAGGGCTTTTATTTGAACAAACTTGGTAGACATTCACTAGAAGATGTTTCATGCCAAATATCTAAGCTCTAGCTCTTACAGTTCTTTAAAAGAAGATTTTTTAAGTTTTTACTATATGCATATAGGGAAAATCAATGACCCCCTGGGGCGGGGCCAATTTTTACCCCAGGGCTTTTATTTGAACAAACTTGGTAGACATTTACTAGAAGATGTTTTCATGCCAAATATCTAAGCTCTAGCTCTTACGGTTCTTTAAAAGAAGATTTTTTAAGTTTTTACTATATGCATATAGGGAAAATCAATTACCCCCCAGGGCGGGGCCAATTTTGACCCCAGGGCTTTTATTTGAACAAACTTGGTAGACATTCACTAGAAGATGTTTCATGCCAAATATCTAAGCTCTAGCTCTTTGGGTTCTTTAAAAGAAGATTTTTTTAGTTTTTACTTTATGCATATAGGGAAAATCAATGACCCCCTGGGGCGGGGCCAATTTTTTACCCCAGGGCTTTTTATTTGAACAAACTTGGTAGACATTCACTAGAAGATGTTTCATGCCAAATATCTAAGCTCTAGCTCTTACAGTTCTTTAAAAGAAGATTTTTTAAGTGTTTACTATATGCATATAGGGAAAATCAATGACCCCCCGGGGCGGGGCCAATTTTGACCCCAGGGCTTTTATTTGAACAAACTTGGTAGACACTCACTAGAAGATGTTCCATGCCAAATAGCTTAGCTCTAGCTCTTACAGTTCTTTAAAAGAAGATTTTTTAAGTTTTTACTATATGCATATAGGGAAAATGAATGACCCCCCCCCGGGCGGGGCCAATTTTGACCCCAGGGCTTTTATTTGAACAAACTTGGTAGACACTCATTAGAAGATGTTTCATGCCAAATATCTAAGCTCTAGCTCTTAGGGTTGTTTAAAAGAAGATATTTAAAGATTTTTCTTTCGGTTGCCATGGCAACCAGAGCTCTGCATGGAATTAAATTCTTTGAACAATTTTTAAAGGTGACCACCAAAGGAACATTCCTGTGAAGTTTGGATGAAATTGGCTCAGTGGTTTATGAGGAGATGTCATTTAAAGCAAAAGTTTACGGACGGACGACGGACGGATGGAGGGACGGACGGACGCCGGACGAAAAGCGATCACAAAAGCTCACCCTGTCACTTTGTGACAGGTGAGCTAAAAATATCATGAACAAAATTCAGATGGCTGATTTTTATATTTTAAAAAAATCCACAAAATCTTACTTTCATACCATTAATATTGCACGGAGATAAATCAAGCACTGAATGTGCTGAAAATTTTTAGGTCACAAACAAGCAATATTTTTTTGTAATCCTGATAGTTCTTTAACTAGAGCTTAGCATTAATCCTGTTTATTTATTTTCAACAATTTTTCTATTTGACAAAACAAGAGCGATCAGTGATCACATGTGTCGCCTCATGATAGCCAATTTCATGTTGGGACAAGTTTTGTGACAGACGGACAGTGCACAACTAGACTTGGTACTGATCATTCCTGTAAAGTTTGGATGAAATTGCACCAGTAGTTTATGAGGAGTAGTCCATACAAGCTTTTCTGTATAGATCTGTCAACACACAGAAAAAAAAAAACACCTTTTTATTAAAGGGCCATAACTCGACCAAAAAATCATTCAACCGGAAAACATGTGTAATATGCGCAAGGACTTGAGCTACAGATCAATCCTGTAAAGTTTCATTGAAATTGCATTAGTGGTATAAGAGAAGTAGTCCGGACAAACTTTAAAAATAAAAAATTATTAAAGGGCCATTATCTTACAAAAATCATTGAACCGGAAAATGCTGACAATATGCACAACTAGACTTGGTACTGATCATTCCTGTAAAGTTGGATGAAATTGCACCAGCAGTTTATGAGGAGTAGTCCGGACAAGTTTTGTGACGGACGGACGGACAGACGGACGTTCTCACAGGACAGTATTAAAAATATGTGGCTACTCTATTGCTCTCTATTGTTTCTTTTTTAGCCACACAAAAGAAAATAGCCGCATACAAGCATTACAGAGAATGAATGACATCAAAGAGAAAAGAACAGTTACCTATTGTCCCTCGAGAGCCACATAATTACTCTCCTGTGAGTGCCGACAGACAGACGATGGAGAAGTGATCCCTATATGTCGCCACTACTCCGTAGAGGCGACAGAATAAATAACTTATCTACAATGTGTAATGTAATTTTTGGCAATAAAAATATATTTTATTTTCATGTGTCTTTATTCAATAAAAGTTGTTTTCTTATATTTCCCAGTTTATTACAAATAACGGAGTTTAACTTATCTACAGTGTGTAATGTAATTTTGGTAATAAAATATATTTTATTTTCGTGTGTTTTATTCTATAAAAGTTGTTATAATATTATATTTTTCCAGTTTTATAAATAAATAACAAAGTTATAAAATGTGTTATGTAATTATGTTTATAAAATATTCATTTTCATGTGTTTTTATTTTATAAAAGTTCAGTGTTTTTTTCAACCAAAATATTTGGGGAAATTCGGCCCCATTCCCCCCTCAACATAGTTATGTTTTTTTTTTCCCCTCAAAGCCTACATTTCCCCCTATATTGCAGCAGCAAAGAATATCATTTTTTTGCATCTAACAGCCAAAAAAATGTTTTATTTAATGCCTGTAACAGTTACTGTTAGCAAGGTTGTTTAATAAATCGTTCTCTGGTAGGTAAGGGAGCTACTCCGGCGTCCCAACAAGTTTAACATGCGACGCATTGATATTTTAGATCCGTATATTAAGAAAGAGAGACATATTTTAAACATGTGTTGCAAGAGTTGCTCCCCTTTTCCACGGTAAAGAAAACAATATAAAATGAGTAAACAAATAAAATTCCCCCTCTATAGAATTTTCCCCGCTCCAAAGGGCACTGCCCCCTCTCTCCCAAAAAGTGAAAAAAAACACTGAAGTTGTTAGTATAATTTTCCAGTTTATGTAAATAACGAAGTTATAAAATGTGTTATGAAATATTGTTAATAAAATATTTGGTTTCCTTGTGTTTTTATTCAATAAAAACTGTATTTGGTGTAATTAATTTATGAATATAAAAACAGGAAAATGAAAAAAGTTTTCCATCAACAGTTTGGAAACGTTTGTATTTGAACACGTGGCCAATTGTTATTTAACTGTGGCTAATCGTTATTACTCTGTGTCGAATTGTCTGTTCAACAAAAGTAACAGCGCAAATTTGAAAACATCATATTTTGTCCCGTAATATAAAGGATCCCAGTACAATAATTACACAACACATTTGTACAAGTTTTACAAAAATATAGAAAATTTCTGCATTCTGAAATAATCTTGAAAATCGCGAAAATATATGACACTAAGTCTGAAACTTTTGTCACGTCACTTTATCACTTTATCTGTCAGTAAAACCTAAAAAAAACACAATCAACTCGCTACAGTAAAACATATTCAAGGAAACCTTAATAATGTTAACATTTTTACTGTTTGAAATTACCTCTTTGGTCCTTTATTCAAATGATTTTCATGCAAAAATCTGAAAACGTGTTGCAAATGGTTTACATTTTAAAGGGATATAACTTACATTAATTCGTACTACATATTTTCGTACCTTATCTGCAAAAACTAGGTTCAGCGATATAAAGACAGAGACATATAATATACATGTATTTTTACGTCTCTGATAAAGGCCAGCATCTTTGCCTTCTTGTTTAATTTTATCCTAATACTGTCTATCTTATCATTGTACATGCAGAGGGGCGATGGGGGATTCACCCCTATTTTTGAGAATTCACCCCTATTTTTTTGAGAGGAAGGGGGAAATTTTACATAGACAAAGAAGGGAAAAGAATCAACAAATGTAATAAATTCTCACTTTTCAATAACCCCCCTCCCCCTTTTTTCAAATCTAGAATAGACACTGGTACATGCATAAGCAGCAAAACAAAAACGCTGTTTTATCCACAGACGCTTGGATGTCAGGTCCTGTCCCCAAACGTTGATACGCCCCTGTAAACACTTTATCAAAATATTTTCATATTTTAAACACGAATGGGTCATCTGCTACAACGATACAACTGGTTTTCAAACAACTTTTACATATCTGAAATACCTTTTAGCATAACGTCTCAATAAAGTGCTGGTCGTTATAATGGTGATTGTGCAACACATGATACTAGTATTTTGCAAATGTTTAGGGTTAAAAAATAAATCTACCTAAATACATAAAAAAATTGCCCCATTCTTTTTATAAATTGAAAGTTACAGATATATTCCGACGGATAATTACACATATTTCACAGGGCCTAGTGAGTTATTTATCGTTCATGTAAAAAAAATAATAATATTGAAAGTAAATATGAGAAAAAGTTTAATTTATTTTGGACATTTCGATTATCTAGTGAACTGGTCTAGGTTTTAATAATAATGTCATTGAATTAAAACTTGTAGATTTGTTTCCTACTCTCTATTTCTAAGTGTTTCGTTTTTCGCACTAGCCGGGTTAGAGGGAAGTCTAAATCATAAACAAGCATTTTTCCCCGTCTTAATTCTTACTCAGTGCTATACTTTTCAGTTAGGGGCAAATCATATAATTGTGCTGTCCAAATGTATACATTTTTTAGATTACTTGCATTTGTTTATCTAATATCTAATCGTGTAATGTATATATCACATTTGTATACTTGTTTTGTCTGTAGTTTATTTAAAAAAACTGGTTGTATAATTATAGTTCAAATCTTCATGTATTATGGAGGATAATAATGTAGCATAATATCACTTTAAGAAGAGCTGTCTTAGACCTTGATAAATAGTCTTTTTAGTTTACACCACTGAAACTATAATGAACTGTATGAATGATCAATACCGTTAGCAAAGATTTCATATAAACATTGAATCAAATTGAAAAGTGTTTTATTAAAGCTATATAATCCTTGCAATATCATAGAAAATGATAAAATAAACGTTATAAGCGAACAATCATGGGACCAACCAGTACAAAATGTACTAAGCAATGCATGATTGTAAAGTTATTTGCTTAAGAAAACAACGGGTTGATTCTGATGGGGTTTGATAATAAACAAGTTCGAGTATTGTTAAACATTTATCAAATTGGTTACCTCAGAACTGTTATTGAACTTTTCAGTAAGGATGCTTATATTTGTAGTTATATCAATAAAACACGAATGGGTTTCTGATATATGTCACGAGTAATTACTATTTGTTTACTAAACATATTTATGTACATTGACAAGTTCTATTATAATACTGCACGTTTGTAACGTCGCTTTTCATTGGATAATCGTGGCGTTTATATAGTTATATACACGGCTGATGTCGATTCATGAAGAAATCTTACATTTTTCTCTAAAAAATTATGCTTAATGTATTATAAATTCGTTATAAGATTGTTGACAGGTTATACGGCCGTATATAAACAGCTGTTTGCAATATAACTCGGGTTATATTTACAAATAGCCGTTTATATAGGGCCATATAACCTGTCAACAATCTTTATAACTAATATTATAATACTGCACGTTTGTAACGTCGCTTTTCATTGGATAATCGTGACGTTTATATAGTTTTATATACACGGCTGTTGTCGACTCATGAAGAAATCTTACTTTTTTCTCTAAAAATGATGTTTGCTGTATTATAAATTCGTTATAAAGATTGTTGATAGTTTATATGGCCGTATATAAACGGCTGTTTGCAATATAACCCTCGCCTAGCGGCTCGAGTTATATTTACAAACAGCCGTTTATATAGGGCCATATAACCTGTCAAAAATCTTTATAACTTATAATATACATGTTTATCGGAACAGACGATGTTCATAGTATTGATGTAACTAAAGCAAATGTGTGTAACCTTTTTTTTTTTTTTAAAAAGTAATAGAAATTGAAAAATCATAGAATTTTACGCAAGGAAAAGTGAACTTTATTTACAGTTATTGTCGATAAAAACAAAACAAAACAAAAGAGATTATTATTACCTCTTTGTGGGAACTTTGGTAAAGTATATAATTATACAACAAACATTTAAAGTATCCTTGTATAGAAACGACACAACAGTTGGACACGACACAACAGTTAGAAACGAGACAACAGTTGGAAACGACAACGACAGTTGTACTTTTATAATGTTACACTGAATTCGATGGCCATAAACTGTTAATGTTTCTCTCTTCCTACAATTTGTCGTTATAATCAAGTTTTCGAAGAAAAGATATGCATATCATAAGGACTTAAGCAGCTCAAGAATTGTTTGTTATTTAAAAGCTATACTATACTCAATAATGGTGTAGACAGGAATAGCCACAATGTTTGACATGTTAGGACACTTGGTGAAATTAGTCACAAAAATACGTTGGTATTTAAGTTTTTAAATATTTTTTAAACATTTAGTCAAAATTATTGCTTCTTATCATAAGATCAAAAGATATAAACGTTATTTTATAACATTAGTTTCAAAGATTAATTAATAATGATTTAAAAGGTTTTCGTATTTTGCGGATATGAATATGCTAGGTCAAAATGATTTAAAAATAGAAAATATAGCTTTTCGTGATCGTATTATAAACTTTAAAAAGACCGCAAATAATTAATTATACTAATTTAATTGTATTAAAAATACGAAAAAACTTTTTTTCAAAAAAAGTGTTTAAAACAAAAGGACGTAAAATGTATAACATTTCCCACAATTAATATATCAACTAAAATAAACATCACATGTAATAGATCAACTAAAATAAACATCACCCTGATATCTCTCTATGTCATACAAATGTACACCGTCACCGACTTAGTTTAACTTATGTCCAAAATTATCGTAAAATCGAAAATAGTCCATTAATTATATAGAGGATATTGAATGAGTGTAAGTTCAATACTGAATTTATTGCACGAGTTGAATAAAATTATATTATGCGAGCCTCTGGCGAGCATAATATTATTTTATTCAACGAGTGCAATAAATTCAGTAATGAACTTACACGAATTTAATTTTCTATTTATCACATACCCAAAATAAATACCGTTTAAAGTGAAGTAAGAGTCATTTTTCATTGACGCACCTATAATATAACGCTAAAATTTAGCGCGTCTTTACACTAAGTTTGTATAACGCTAATGACGTCACGTCAAAATATATGCACGGCCGTGCAATACCATATTTACGGAGTCGCAAAATCGGCACGGGTGTGTGATAAAACAGTTTTTCCTACACCTAACCCTTTATTGATATAATTTACGACCTGAATACTATGATAATAACGAGGATTTCGAAATCGAAGATTTTTGTTAAAATCTTATTGATATGATTTTGTCTTTAAACTGGCCAAAGGATCATATTTTCCCTCAAAAAAGGCCAAAGAAATATTTAACACAAACAGGAATAAGGTTATATGGCTATTTAAGTGTGGCACACATCATTGTATCGAGCCTTCATGTGAAAACTTGATCTTTGCGTTTGTTTTCTGATTAAAATCTGAACGATATATTGTTGGAGACCGTTTTATATTTAAATAATAAAATATAAATGTAAGACATGCATACTGAACCAAACAAGATTTTCTTTTATTCTGTTTTTGTAAAACAGTGAAACAAAATATAAACTTGTCTTGTAATTATGTGCCGAGTATGAACAGTTTTTTAGAAGAAACAAAACGCTTAAATTGTTGTTGAATTCATACTCCCACTGAAACATGGCTTTATAGCAAAAAAAAAAAAGTACAAATATATTGTATGGTTCGTTATGATCAGGATAATACTTAAAGGTACATCAAGCATCAGAAACAAATATTTGTATATTTATTTAAAAAGGACAAACATGAGTTTTTAGACCGTGATTAATTTAGATGTGTTTTACTTTAAGAATTTTAGCGCTTATTGTAAAATTATTTGTCGTAAAAAGAGCAAAATATATATAAAGTAATCGAAGTAGTATTTTGATTTTCATATATATAATAACTATAATATACAGTAATTAAATCCTACTGGCAAGTTTCAATGTTTTATACATGTTTATCATATCATATATAATATGTTTAATTACATGCGATAATCACGATAATTATCAAGGTATAGGTATAGGTATTTATCATCCTTTAAATAGTGTCAAGATAGTCAATGATATATACCATACTTTACATACTTTCAAACGACGCTATTGTATATTGCATCTAGATTTACATGCAACTATGATAAAACAAATAAATCAATAGCAAAAAGGTATTGTTTCATCATTTAAACAATGTGTCAGCGATATATACCATACTTTACATACTTTCAAACGACCCTATTGTACTTAAATACATGTATATTGCCTCAATTATACCTGCAACTATGATGAAACAAAGAAATCAATAGTGAGAAGGTATTGCTTCTTTAACATGGTCAATTAAAGTTTTATTTTAAGATAAAAAGGACAGAAAATGACATATTAGTTGTCACATTTCTCCTTCAAGTTTCCTTTCTTCCGCCATGTCCGCCATTTTCTAAAAGTTGAATGTTAGGTAAGCAAAAAAAATCTTCATTGATGACAAAATAAACAAATATTTCA